AGAAACTACGGCCATTTAGCCGCAATAAAAAAAACTTTAGGCATTAACAGCTGGTAAATGGAAATCAGTTAATGGTAAAGTGCCTTTGTGATCAAATCCTGGTAAAACAGCTGTAGAAACATAAACTACAGGGACTAGTTGCTTAATATGCATGGACAGACCAGCTTCATAACCTCTAAATATGAGACTCAAAGAGGCAAAAAAACAAAGCAAAAAAACAAAACAAAAAAAACAAAATTGTTAAGTCAAAGTGAGAGTACGCCATGCAATGCGTAAACTACGCAAAAAGCAAGGAAGAAAAGCTTTAGCCTTCGGTGCAGCCGGCCCACGTATCGCGTTTAGTGTGGATATAGTCCGCTATAAACAAGGTTTAAAGTGTTTGCGCACAGGTTAGAAAAACCTCTGTTGTTCAAGCTGACTCTAAGGTCACGTTTCAGGGTGTCTGTAAAACCTGAAAAGGCCCGGGACACCCCCCTTGACGGGATGGATCCCCCGGAACACCCTTAATTACAAAAATTAGGCAAAAAAATTCAAACCATAAATCACTCTAAAAATCGTCAATGAACCAATAAATATCTTTTATTTAAGTCAAGAAAAAAAAAAAAAACAAAGTATCTTTTAAATAAACCGTGTTTGAGGAGTATCACTTATAAAATTCACTTATTTTGATTCTTATTCTTGTCTTGTTTTCTTTTTCTTTGATATTTATATTTTGTAATTTTGATTTTCCAGCTAATGTGTGTTTGTTTTTTCTTTCGAGCGACCAGATTATATACGTATTGCACGGAGAATTCTTTGTTCTGTAGGGGTTTCCCGGAAGGGGGCATACTCCCTTATTTGGCCTTGACGATAATGTGCCCCTGAGCAGGGCTTCAGGGCGGAAAAACGTAAAGAGCATGCGTGAACTTTTTAGCCCAGATCCCCCGACCGGGTTTGAGAAAATGGCGGGATTTTAAATATTTTTTTGCTATTAATAAAACGTTTCCAAACTTAGCCTGGAAAGAACAAGTTATTTGCCTTCAAAAGTTGCAAGCTGTGGTTGTAACGTACCTTCTCATGACTTAATTTTTTTAAAAAATATCTCATAGTAAAACGGACTAAAACGACATTAATTTCCTTGCGTTGTACTGTAAATGTGCGTGCGTAGGTCCGATTTTTTTCAAGATGCATTCGCAGAATGTGTTCGTATAACCAAGTTCCTGGATGTATAAGGTCCATAGCCCCACTATGGACTCAAAAACAAAATATCTTTGCACAGTAATCTACCCCCCGCCCCCCCCAAAAAATAATAAATAAATAAATAAATAAATAACGCATGCCCACAATGTGTTTGAAGTCGCTGAACTTTGTCGCACTCAAGCTGATATTTTAAACCCACTCTCAATCGGACACTTATAGCTTCGTAGATCACTGAAATACAAACAAAGTCCTCTATGTCAAGTTTTGGCGTCGATATGTGGGAATAAAAAGATTCAATCTTTATATAGTAAAATCTTCCCCAAAATCGGTTTCAAAGCAACTATAGTTCACTTTTAAACTTGATCGTTTCGCGCACTGAGAGATAAATTATAAATTAAGCTTATGCTTTGTGTTGTCAAGTTGAAAATGCATAACATCTGTCAAAAACCTACACGTAAGTAGGATTCCGTTTTATTCTTGCTGACAATGAACAATTGAATTTTTCGTACGAAAGCAACTACCAAAAGATCTTAAAAGCAAAAGATCAGTTGCAGTGAGCTTCGCAACCAAGCCATGATTCACCATTTACCTATTTTTAATAACTCAGTGAATTAGTCCATGCGAGGGTCTTCATTCTAGCAAATCAAACTCAGCCAATCTTTAGGAAATACAGAAAACTACACATAAGGGTATTTGTTTTGCTCGCCTCAGACAAATCCAGCTCCAGCAATTGTTTACGGGTAGAGTCACCTGCTTGTTTTAAAGTCACTGCCGGCAGTTGTCGTTCTCTACTTTACAGCGAGTGAAAAGGAACACTTGCGTACAGAAAGCTTTTTCTTGTAAAGAACAGAAACTTTCACAGTGCACTGAAAAACAAAACTATGTAATTAAAACTGGAGAATACTCTGACTATTATAACTTGAGCAACAGAAAAATGATCGAAGTAGTCTTTTCGTCTCGAGTAAGCTTGCAGACCTCCTATTTCCGAGAAAGTTTTAAGCGCACAAATGGTTCTTTGAGTGAAGAGAAGGATAAAGATGGTTCTGCAAAGGCAATAAATCTGGGCATGTAAAAAGTACTGACTAATTGCCCCCGAAAGGATTTCGCCCACAAGGCGAAATCCCGTGAATGCACTCTAGTAACTCGCGCGTATAGTAAGAAAAGTACTTATATTTGAAATATACAGTCAGTATGCCAGAGAGGGGAGGAAGGGTGGCGCAGTGGTGAGAGCACTCGCTTCCCACCGATGTGGCGCGGGTTCAAATCTCGGCGTCGACGCCATATGTGGGTTAAGTTTGTTGTTGATTCTCTCCCTTGCTCC